TTCTTTGGGGTTCTAGCAGAAATTGGAGCTCCTGGGCGTCGGCTGACGTCTGATGCTCGTAGGAGCTTTAAGCACTCATAATTTCCTGTTTCAGCTCATCGGCGTAAGGTATTTCATCACAGATTGGACTTTCATCCCTTAGGACACAAAAAAATAATCAATAAGAACTCATCTCTAGCAATGTATGGACTCTCAACTACTGATTCTGCTATATAACCAGATGTCATCATTGTTTTGGAATGTGCATTGTAGTGAAGCAGGGACAGCTTTTCTGTAGCTTCACTACTAATTAATTATTCTTAAAGTTAGTTCAAGCACAAAGAATATTAATTATTTAAATACAACGGATTCTTTCTTTTTCAAGTTAAATTAATGCCATGTGACCGAGATAACTGTGAGGATTGTTTAATCAGTGACATGAGACGCCATTTTTCTTTGACCCATCAGAATAAATGCGGTCATTTATTTAACAGAATCAAAATTTAACATCAAAACATGTACACATTGATTTGCTGATCTGTTTCTGATTAATAAAAACATGGCATGCTTTACTAACAAGACAACAGAACATTACTGATGGAGGCATCTAGATTACTGGCAAAATAGAAAAGTTTAAAGGAAGGAATGGAGAAGTTTAAAGGAAGATGGATGAAGGAAGATGTATGTTTTGTTGACCAGAAATAGCACGCTTCTTTCAACACCAGCTCAAATCCCCGGTCCTCTTAGTGCGCGTCACTCGTGACGTCTCTTTACCTTTGCAGTTGATGGACAGCTCCAGTATAGATGTCCCTATGCACGCTACCTTTCAGCGTCTCCGGTCAGGGTGGCTGGTCATCGTCAGAAGTTGTGTGGTTTACTCCGTCCAACAGAACAAGCTTCCTTCGAAGTTGTAGGGCGTTACGCCCGGGTGAGTTCACAGCGAGGCGCTGTGACTCCAGCTGGGATGGACGGACCCTCGTCTCACAGTCAAATCCATCAGCTATTGATTAAATCTGAAAGTTCCTTAGGAACTCTCAGGAAGACTCCATAGTCCCAAGAAAGACTCAGGAAAACTGAGTAAGACTCCAGGAAGACTGAGTCCGAAGTTCCACTCAGAAGTGGAAGAGTCCGGTGAAAAACTCAAGAAGACTCAGAAGACTGAATAGTTCCAGGAAGTGTTGACTTTTAAAGAGTACTCACTTACGGTTGATCGGTACTTCCTGATTGGTTGAAACAACCAGCAGGGGCAGTGTTTCAGTGATGTCAGAGGGTTATTAAAAGTCAAAAAGACAGCAGGAATGTTTACGCACGGTTAGTCTAGACAGAGGAATGTCATGGCGAAGTGAGACAAACGCAGATGCCAGTCGAAGTTATTTACTGTCTGCTAGGTTTAAAAACAAGACACTTCGTTCTAATAACTTGCTTTCTGACTGTTGCCCGACATCACTACTCCTCATTCAGACAGAAGATCAAAATGCACAATTACTTTGTAAATAGACATTTAAAATGATTTCTAAGTCTAATGAGGTTTAAAAATCATTAATTCTGTTTCACAGTTGATTTAAAATGAGTGGTTCACTTCAACATTTAGAAATGGTATGAACTAAACACACTTTGATTATCAAGATATTCTAAAATAGTAATGATAATGAAAAAAAAGAAGAGTGTTCTTTCAATAGATTAATTCAAGATACAATTAAATAGTCTCTTGATGAGCTAATTTGTATTTCTGGATTGAAATCAATGAAATAACAGTTCCTGTCCCATGAAGGTCTTCAGAGACAGATTGTTGTCGGAGGCCTAGTTCACTACTGCGTTAACGCTGTTCTCCTACAAATCATTAATTAAAAGCAAAGCATAAGAAATAAAAGTCTAGACTATCATTTCACCACATCATGTTCATGGCTCTAAGAAGCTTTGTTCAGCTCTAGCTAAATAGGGAGTTTTTAAACGGTTTTCTCAGCTGTGAATATTAAGACAACATCCTGGAATCCTACTCCTGGATTCTAAAAAGAACCAGATCGGTAAGAATTACAATTCTACAACGATGGTGAACGACAGTTAATTTGAGTTTCTTTGTGGACGACGATCAACTCCTACTGCTAGGTTGGGTGAACCACAGGGTGAGATAAGGGTGTGGCTCACAGATGGAGGTTGTCAACAAGTCTGGGTGAATCACCTTCACATAGAGCCTAAGCTGACCTAACCTAAAATTACTCTTGGTAATACTCAGGTATTAGACTTACTTCGTTGTACCCCTTAGAAGAGACGCTGCAGTGGAGTTTAACCATAACCAAAGTGGTAACTCCACTGGATAGATGGAGAATCGATAGTTGAGCAGCATGTCTCTTTAAGAAAAATGGGAGGGAGAGCCCTTATGTGACAATGGCTGACATTGCGGAGCTCTTTAGCGGAGCTCTTTGGTGGTTTGAGCTCTTGAGCTTAGTATTTTTCAAAGTTTTTAATAAAAATTAGTAAACAAGTTCTTAGCTTCTTTTTTCAGAGAAAAACAACTTTTTACACAAATCCACGGGTTTCAACCGTGAATTTTGGAGCTCGACAAGACGGAAGTTTATTCCCGAGGTCAGCCTGTTAGCTTAGCTTTTAGCTTAGCTTCTCAGCTTAGCTGCTTTTAATGATCCAAAAACATGATTTTTGATAGTTAAAACAAATTGTAAAGTGAAAGGGAGGGGTCAGTGAAGAGTACTGGAGTTGAGCCGTGTCTTCAGTAGTTAGAGACACGAAGAAATGATAAAGCCAGTAAATGAAAATAAGGTCGATAATTTTCATTCATCATGCGATTAATTGGTTTATTGTTTATCACGACAGGCCTAGTAACCATTGCTTAACACAATGATATGTTGTGTTACAAATAAAACTAAAAATTAACAATATAAAAGTCAAGTGCTCTAAGTCATTGCTTGTGTTAAATTGTGTCACATTAATTTCATTATCTTAGCCATAGGAGTGACTTTAAAAACAGGATGATGCATATATGGACTAGTTGAATGGGGAGTCTAAAATATCCTGATTCATGCTCAATAATTTCAACTATTTTTTTAATCCATCCAGAGGACCTGACCTGACCTTTTGTTAGATTTCTCTAAAATTGTTATTGAATCAATTCTTTACTTATATAGGTAAACATAGATATTTAACAACCCATTAAAATACACCAGAATGCAGGGAATGGCATCTACTTTATTCAAAATTTTCTGGGGGAGAAACCCCAGATCCCCACTAGTGTGTCCCCCCACATTACAAATGCTTCTTTGTAATGAGTCCTCGTGGCTCAATGAGGCTAACCTGTATAAATAAAGGTTGAATGAATGAATGAAAGCTTCTGATGCCAATGAACATGAAAGAGGTGCATGGCCAAGCAGTGTAAACGGGCCCTTGAAAGGCTTGTCCTGGCCAAAATGTTTAAGAAATTAGTTTTTGCTATTAGCAAAATGCTCGGCTATATTAGGTTTCTCTGGTTGGCTTGCTGCTGTTGTTGCTTGTTTAGTTTTTATTTTTTGCTTGATGCCATCTTTCCTATCTATGTCCTCATTAAATTAGGAAATGTTAATAAATGTTTTTCTTTTTACCTGAAGCATGTTGTCTTTTCCCCTAATTTTCTTCTTGGGATTATACCAGAATGCTTGATTAACATGTAAAAAAAATAAAAAATCACAAAATTTTCTGTGGGGGTGTGTGTGTGTGTCACCTTTTTCATTCCTTCTGAGTTTGCAGGTATGTACAATATGTTATATCTTTTTGCCGTTTTGTGGCAGGCAATGTTAAAAATTCAACAGTTCAACAAAACATGATTGGACTCTTAAAAACAAATGGTACATGCTCTATTCAACCTCTGCTCGACTGCCTGGCTGACATCAGGGACTGGATGGCTTTAAACTTATTAAGTTTCAATGAAAAGAAGTCTGAAATCATGTTGTTCCCTCCCAATGACACAATCACAAACCACTGCATCGACCTCTCCACTCTAACCCTGTCATAAAAACAGAGTCATTAATCTGGGAGTGATAATGGACCCTTCCCTGAAACTTAATAATCATGTAAACATGATTGTTAAATCATGTTTCTTCAAACTGAGGCGGCTGTCTAAACTGAAGCCCATATTGTCCAAAAATAACCTGGAGACAGTAATACATGCATTCATTACATCTAGGCTTGATTACTGCAATTCACTCCTATTTGGTATCAGTCAGACCTCCATTTCACGACTACAACTGGTTCAGAATGCAGCAGCCCGATTTTTAACCAGTAAAGGCAAAAGAGAGCACATTACACCAGTTTTGGCCTCACTGCAGTGGCTACCGGTTCACCTTAGAATCCAGTTCAAAATCCTCCTGTATGTCTACAAATCGCTGAACAGCCCCCCCCCCCCCCTTTCTCTCTGATCTGCTGCAACGGTATGTCCCACCACGTTCCCTGAGGTCAGCGGCCCAATTGCTCCTCACAGTTCCAGGAACTCGTCTTAAGCGCAGAGGTGACAGGGCCTTCTCTGTAGCAGGACCAAGACTTTGGAACAAGTTACCTTTGCTTGTCAGACTGGCCCCCTCCCTCTTGGTTTTCAAATCCCGTTTAAAAACACTACTATTCAGTAGCTTTCAACACTAGAGGATCTGTGTTTTGAACCTGTACGCTCCACACTGGTTTGTCGTCATATTTATTATCTGCATCGTTTTTATGTCCATATTTTTGATTTACTTCATTTTGTATATTGCTTCGTGTGTTGTCTATTGTTATTTCTGTACAGCACTTTGTTTGGCCTTGTAGCTGTTTTAAGTGCTCTATAAATAAAATGGTATGGTATGGTAAAATGGCATCAATTAGTGAAGTATTTTTTTTCTTTTCACTGTCATTTTTAGATAATTCTGTCTACTACTTTGCCTGTAAATTATTGGATTACTAAACAAAACTCTAAAAAGCCTGTAATGGCTAAAGGAACGTTCTTGGTGTGTAATGTCACTGAAACGTACAGTGTCCACATTCTGACAGTTTTTACCCTACAGGCAGTCCTGGTGGATATGGAGGAAGGTGTGGTCAATGAGATCCTGCAGGGCCCATTGAGGGAGGTGTTTGACAGCGCTCAGCTCCTCACAGACGTGTCGGGTTCAGGCAACAACTGGTGAGAGACAGCCTCACCACAGGAGTCCTCCACGCTTACACGAGGAGGAGCAACAGTGGCACGCTATCAGTTTAAACATAAAGCAGCTCCTTACATTTATTCACACATGTTGTTCTTTAAACTCTTTTTGAGTTGAACTTTACTCAATCCTACATAACTTAATCAAAGGAAAATATGAAAGGTGCTTCTTAACAGCACCGGTGTGAAAATGTTTCCTGGAGGTTTTCTTGGCAGCTAATGTAAAAAAAAAAAAAAAAGCTGCATGTGATCTAGAGTTCCTTAGGGGCGGCTGTGGCTGAGTGGTTAGAGCAGTCGTCCTCCAATGCAAGAGTTGGGGGTTCAAATCCACCAGCAGTCACATGCCGAAGTGTCCCTGGTCAAGAAACTGAACCCCACATTGCCTCCGATGTGTGTCCCATCGGTGTTTGAATGTGATAAAGCTCTGATTAGTCTCTTTAGAATGATTTGGTCAATTAGCTTTGTAGAGATCTATTAGAGTGCTGTATGAATGGAAAAAAATGAGGACACAGATTGTCATGTAAAGCGCTTTGAGTATCTTGATCAGATAGAAAGGCGCTATACAGGTCCTTCTAAAAAAATTAGCATATTGTGATAAAGGTCATTATTTTCCATAATGTAATGATAAAAATGAAACTCATATATTTCAGATTCATTGCACACCAATTGAAATATTTCAGGTCTTTAATTGTTTTTATACTGATTATGGCATACAGCTCATGAAAACCCAAAATGCCTGTCTCAAAAAATAAGCATATCATGAAAAGGTTCTCTAAACAAGCTATTAACCTAACCATCTGAATCAACGACGTAACTCTAAACACCTGCAAAAGATTCCTGAGGCTTTTAAAAACTCCCAGCCTTGTTCATTACTCAAAACCGCAATCATGGGTAAGATGCCGACCTGACTGCTGTCCAGAAGGCCATCATTGACACCCTCAAGCAAGAGGGTAAGACACAGAAAGAAATTGCTGAACGAATAGGCTGTTCCCAGAGTGCTGTATCAAGGCACCTCAGTGGG